ATCTATTCTGAGCATGGTTAAGACTGGATCCAACCCCCTGAATACTTGATCCTAAAGGTTAAGTCATGAAACTCAATCATGTATAGTGAAGATCTGTTGAAATCCATGGGATAAGTTAGTAATGAAGGCATCCTAAGGCTAGATCCAATCCCCAAATTTGTATTCTGCTTTGACAAATTTTGTTTGGACTAGAACTTGGTTTCCACAATTCTCAGAACCCTCCCCCCCTTCCTGTAAGTATACAGGAAATAAACACAAGCTTCCATAGGAAGACATGAAGACAGAGAGTGGGACCAGAAATCGGATAAGGCATGAACTGCCTTATTCTACCAATTCTACCAAACATTACTTGAAACACCATTGAACCTCCACCTGTGTGCCTGCCTGTTTACCTTTTTCCACAGAAGGTTTTAGGTAGACAAACTAAGTAAAGAAAAGGACAGTGTTTGTTTAAGTTCACCTCTAAGAACCCACTGGCAGCATGACTACTAGGCTTGCTGGCCATTGGATTGTGGCCGTTGTAGACACAAAAAGTACTGTAATTTTTCCAGTCTCTGTGCTTGAGAACTTGACCATGAGAATATGCCATTCCCCAAAAAGAATATGTTGCCATGTTGCATGCTGTCAAGTTACATTTGACTTATGATGACCCTAATAATGGTTTTATTAATGCCAACCCCCCCTCCCCAGTTTCCTTCTCTAAACAGGATTCGAAGCCAGGTCCCCTGAGTCTTAATGTGCCCCTATATTTACTATATCACACTGGCTGTCTCAGGTATATGTACTATGCCATTTTTTCAATATGCCACTAATATTCAATTCTCTCTCAGTGGAACAGATGTGAGGACGAGAAGTAGACATTGCCCATTCTTCTGTAGAGACTTTCGTTGCATTTATCTGCAACACTGGAGTACTAGAGATCAAAATTACAGAAACTACTTTTAAACAGGGTAAACATTTTTTTTCCCACATGATGAAATCAAACCATATGATAATGAAAAACTGTTTTAGCGAAAAGCCAGGCTGGTGGGACATTTGAGCAGAGCATTCACACGGGACAGCTTTTATATGGTAAGAAAATATACCAAAATCGCATGGGCTGAGAAGGCTAAGGTGGAATGGGCATTTCCTCCCAAGGATTTTGCAAATTAATACACACAAACACCGAAACAAGTAACCACTCCATATGGCGATGTGAAATGGTACAAATATTGTGTCATGTGATTGCTCCGGTTGGGCGTCCTGGTTCTGATTTCCTCTGTTTGTAAGTTTCCTTTTGTTGGTCTACATATTGGAATTACTAACATCCCACTTCCCTTCGCAGGGTGCCGCAGCCAAGAACTGCAGATCCTTTAATTACTTAAGTGTGAGCATGAAAACCAAGCTATGCGCAGGAAGAAATACGATGCAACGGAGAATATGATGGCTCTTGTGCTTTCAGATTCCTGGAAGGAAGGGTGATTTGCATCTCTCGTTACAGTAAACCCCTCTTGTTTTTAAAAGGCAAATCTTTTTCTTTTCCTTCCTTTTGTTTCGCTTCATGTGAAAACATGACTTTGTACACACTTAGAACACTGTAAGGTAAGTGTCTGGTTGACCAAACTTTTTTTTCCTATAGTACTTCCTCCTATTATAAAGGGACGTGGTGGCGCTGCGGGCTAAACCGCAGAAGCCTGTGCTGCAGGGGTCAGAAGACCAAGCAGTCGTAAGATCGAATCCACGCGATGGAGTGAGCGCCCGACACTTGTCCCAGCTCCCGCCAACCTAGCGGTTCAAAAGCATGTAAATGCGAGTAGATAAATAGGTACCATCTCGGTGGGAAGGTAAACAGCATTCTGCGTATAGCTGCGCTGGCCACGTGACAACGGAAACTGTCTTCGGACAAACGTTGGCTCTATGGCTTGGAAACGGGGATGAGCACCGCCCCCTAGAGTCGAACACGACTGGACAAAAATTGTCAAGGGGAACCTTTACCTTTACCTTACCTCCTATTATAGAAAACAACTATTACTAGATATATTATATTACTATATTAGCTCTTTTAATGATATTATAATTAAGCAAGCATATGTGTTCATGTGTGTGTGTGTGTGCATGCTGTCACACACACTGTTTATAGATCTGTTCAAAAATATTAAGGGCACGCTCCACTTATAATGTTAAAGTAACTGCCAAAAAACTGTGACTTTATTGAGATCATTTCCCCCCTCCAAATCGGACAGAGCTGCAGGAAAATAAAATATGTTTCTAACCTCCTAATAAATATAAATAAGTAGGAAAACTTCTCTGTTTTTCCCCCCAGAGGTATGAGTTCTATTGTGTAAAACACCGGATAAAACTGTTCTTCTTTAAAGACATTTTTATTCTAACAACAAAAAGAAAAAAAGAATAAACCAGTCGTTCTCTGGGGAGGGAAACCACTTTTAATACTTCTATACCAGAATAAAGTTCTGTCAACTGATGTATTATAATAATAAATAATGACCAAGAATAAACTTTAAATACAAAGTTTTTTTTCCTAATTGTTACAAGCATAGCAACAAAATTCTCTACTCTATTGATCTCAGATTTTCTCCAAGATAGATTTTTTTTTCCTTTGCTTAGGAATGTAGACAGTATTTTGACCAATATCACAGACTACAGAAGTTACAGAGAAAAAACTTGACATGTTTAGATATGAGAAGCACGGTGATATTCAGAAACTGACAATGTTTCACTGCTCCTGTCACTTGTTTGTATTCCAAGTTACAAATGTTCTGGGGGAAAAAAAGTGTGGATGTCAGAGGCAAAAGAGAGGGATAGTAGCACCAGACCAAATGGATTCCACACACACACATCACAAAGAATGGGGGAGAATTTTCCAGTGTCACAAACGGAATTATTGCCTGTCGTATCTGAAAATGCTCAGAAGACATAAAAGAATACTGAAAAGAGCTCCAAAAGTGCAAGAATATGGAATGTGGGGTCCTTTTTTTTTTCCTCTTTTTTTTTCTTGCTAAGATACTGAAGGCGGCGCAAACACACAAAAAGCAAGCGACCGAAACACAGTCACCAAACACGGTAGTGCAGTTAAAATCCTAAAGCTTACTACAGTCAGAAAGTCTTCAATTACATTTCAATCCTTTACCTAGGATCATAAGAAACAGTTGCATTAAGTTTATCAACTTGATTTAAGTAAGGCAGTGAGAACTATACTAGGAAGAAAAAAAATCAACCCCCCAAAAAACAAGGAAAGCAGCTGGCCCTCTGCCAGGCAGGCATTATAAAGTGACCTCACTTTAACTGGAACTTCAATTGGGTGGTAGCGGGGTTTTTTTATATATATTTTCTGACAGCTTATGCAAACCGTATTCCTTATTAGCCTGAGAATCCTGTGTGGTTTTGTTTTTTCCCCAGTCTCAGGGTAGCGCTAAGAATTTTATTTACATTGATTGCAGCTTAGGGTTTTTGCAAACTGCTATAGGCAGAGCTCAAGTTTTTAAGGCTCTGGGGTTTTACTCTGTGCTCCCAGCCTGCAAAGGATATATTGACTTTTTTCTTTTTTCCCCTAAAAAGTCTGACTTATTATGTTTTGAGGAGATGTTAATATTTGTCTCTCGTCGTAAACAGCACTGATTTCACTTCTCTCAAAGGAAGTACATGAAAAGGCCATTTGTTTGCCATTCAAGTGGGCATAAGAATAAACCATGATCTGCCTGCCTTCCTTCCTTCCTTCCTTCCTTCCTTCCTTCCTTCCTTCCTTCCTTCCTTTTCACTCAGTAAAGCATTTCATTACAATCTGGCTTGCTAGGTGGGAAACAACAGAATCAAATTTTGAGGGGCCAATTCATAGAAAAGCTAAAAAAACCCCAGCAAAAATATAAAACATTGGCTTTTCTTACAAAAAAAAAACATATAAACAAATACTAATACTCTTTATGTTGTTACTGTTGTTCTTAATCTTTTTCCCACTAGAGGCAAAAGGCAGGATGTCTGGATTCATATTTTAGGTCAAATAGCTTGAAAAGAGATTTTCTCTGGTTTAAAACAAAAGCCTCCTGCACAATGTCTGTAACACCTCCTCCTCCTCTTTCTAATTTTTGAAATATTCTAATAAATGAAAAGTAACCTGGATTGGGGAATCCTTCATTCAAAATTTCTTTTTTTAACCAACTAAACAAAATAGAATAGAAACAAACTTTCTATTAATTCTTTTTTTTCTCTCTAGCCGAAGTATGCTTTCTAGATAAGGCGGACTAGTTACCTTACCTAGAATGCTCTTTAACCTGTATTTCTAAATCCCTCTACAGCCACCTATTCTATCAAAAAGGAACTTTTCCCCATCTAAAAAAACAAAAATGCTACCCTCCAGAGACTTCGTACAATAAAGCTGCAGTTTCTCACCTGCAAGAAATTTCTTTTAACCTTCAATTCTTTTGGCCATCTCTCTCTCTCTCTCTCTCTGTGTATGTGTGTGTTTGTGTGTATATATCTATCTATCATATATATGTATATCTTTTAAAAATTAAAATTAATAACACAATCTTTTTCCATCTAGGTCAGTGCTGACCGTTGCTTATAGGCCGTCTAAAATTTCTCCTATAGTGCAGTCGAATTGATTTTCTCTGCAATGACAGCTCCAGTCAGACTGGCACCCATCTCCGTCTACCAACACGTCTCATTACTATGCTAGGCAAATGACAGCGGTTGGTGTCATATTAATAAGGTGTTTTCAGCAATGAAAACACAGACCACCCCTCAGCTCTGACCATCTTCAAGGCAACATTAAATCGGTTAGATGGTCTCATTTCCTTTCCTTTCTTTTCTTTTTTCTGGTAAGAGAGCATTATTTCTCGACAAAGACCACTTTCACATTGGAAATGCCCCCTTTTATTTCTTAAGAAGAAGAAATAACTCCTCACATATGGAGAGGGGAAAACACCCACTTGATTTATCCCCACCTATATTGTTTGGAAGTACTTGTTGCCAGGTAACAGTTTAACAGCCGTTTCCAAAGGCTGTTTTTTCTTTCTTCTTTTAAACTATATATCTAGATATCTTTAATGTCTTAAACATCCTGTATGCTTCTTGGAATTTGCACACAATTCATTTTCCTCAGAAGGCAGTTAAACAAAACCCACTGTTACCCCAATGCATATCTTAAAACGATGTAAAATAATATTGCAATATACAGATTGATTTGTTCGGCGGCATTACTCTTGGGCCAGACTGCCCTCCTCCGTTAACTCTGTCGAGCTCCCAGGTTTGACAGCTGCAGGTTCCTCTAAATTCCCAGAAGCCTCGGAGTCAACTCTGGAGCGCTTGAACCTGCGGTCTGGATACTGACTGTTGTCAAAAGGCATGCGATGGACACAAAGGACGTGGGTCTTCAAATTTCCCTTCTGAGAGGCACTGTAGGGGCAGTATCTGCATTGAAAAGGCCGGTGACCTGCACAACAGATAAACATCAGGTTAGTTTTGCCTCCTATTGACAGGGTTCCCTCCCCTCCTTTTCCTTTTCTTTCTCTATTACAGTTCATAGAAGAAGACTGCAAAATAAACATAGTTCTTTCTCATCCATACAGTTGGATTCAGAGGTATTCACACGGTCGGATAGTTTTTTATATATACAAACTCCCCCACATGAAATTGTCCCTGCAAAACCCTTAAACGCAGAACCTTTGTCAGATAAAGGCGTCTTTCTCTGACAATAGCATTTTTTCAAAGGAAAGCAGGCTTTAGACATGGGTCCACCCCCCCCCCCCACCGGAAGCATTGCAGTGGATAAATTCAAAATTGCATGCACTCATCATGATAGGGCCTGTCTGTAGTCAGGATCCTCCACTCCATGGTAAGCCCAAAAAATGCAGGCTGCTGGATTAGTGCATATCAATAAATAAAGAGCAGATCTTCTATAGAGTTAATGGATCTCCATGTAGGCAACCCCCATAGAATCCTAAGGACTGAACAGAGCTTATGTGTCTTATTACAGCAAACTAATGCAAGAGGATGTTCATGCAACATAAAAGTGGGACACATACATTCAAATTCCAATTTGTTAGAGGGAGGGGGACATCAGCAGAAGGTATCACACTGTTGTCATGCATATTTTCTTCCCTTGACTTTTTCCCAAAGATGATGGAGAGCTTAAATTAAGCCAGAGATGTTCCATGTTATGACACCTCCTCATTGTATGAGAACAGAGGTTACAAATTGTAAAGAAAAGCATGGAGAAAAATATTCGTAGATTACATGGCAGTATAATTTTATTTATAAGGGACGTGGTGGCGCTGCGTGTTAAACCACTGAAGTCTCTGTGCTGCAAGGTCAGAAGACCAGCAGTCGTAAGATCAAATCCACACGACAGAGTGAGCTCCCGTCGCTTTGTCCCAGCTCCTCGCCAACCTAGCAGTTCAAAGGCATGCAAATGCGAGTAGCTAGTTACCACCTCGGGGAGAAGGTAAAACGGCGTTCTCTAGCCACGCTGGCCATGTGACAACGGAAACTGTCTTCGGACAAGTGCTGGCTCTACAGCTTGAAAAATGGGATGAGCACCACCCCCTAGAGTCGGACACGACTGGACTAAAACATGTTGAGGGCAACCTTTACCTTTACCGGTGGGAAGGTAATGGCATTCCGTGTCTATGTCAAGGGAAACCTTTACCTTTACGGGTGGGAAGGTAATGGCATTCCGTGTCTAGTCACGTGACCATGGAGGATTATCTGCGGACAAACATTAGCTCTATGGGTTGGAAACAGAGATGAGCACCGCTGCCTAGAGTCGGACACGACTGGACAAATTGTCAAGGGGAACCTGTACCTTATAATTTTATTTAACTTGATCTTTAAGCTTAGGCTGAGGGGAGAACCCTTGTGAAGTAAGGCCCAGACCAAATGGACCTGGTGCCCTTCCACCTGCCTCATAGGGATTTATAGAATCACAGAATAATGGAGTTGGAAGGGGCCTGGAAGGCCATTGAGTCCAACCGCCTGCTCAAAGCTGGAAGCAGATGGTCCATCTTCTACCTAATGCTCATCCCAAGATCACTCAAAGATGGTAAGGGCTGGACAGGAAGGAGCACCTGGCTACCTCTCTTATAAGTCCAACACAAAAACTGTAGCAAATGGCTTTAAACCAAGTCAGACTACATGGCCATCTAATCCAGTACTGCCTTGCCTTATTGATGGCAGCTCTCCAGTGTCTCAAGCAGAGAGTATCAGGCAAAAACAAACGAAAAATAAAAAAGACAAAAACTTTGTGGCACCTTAAAGACTAACAGCTATGTTCCAATGTGAGCCTACATGGACGAGTCCACTTCCTCAGACACTTTCTCACTGTCTCATCCTAAGAGGAAGCAGGAATGGACCCCAAAATTCTCTCTCCATTGCATGTTTATACTCTGTTCCTAAGGATTATAAAAATATTTCTCGTATACTGTAACAGGGTTAAAACTACCAAACACCAAGAAGCAATGGAAAACTACTTAGAGTCTGTCCATACTGTGAAATTGGGTGTGATCAGAACAGGGCTTAAAAAGTCCTTGTCTACAGATCAGTCTGTTTTAACTCTTGGTACCCATTGGCAAAGGCAGAACAAAGAGCTCTTCTGCATCTCAATGAATCATCCCAAAAAGGATGCATGCCTTAGCCCTGTGCCAGGAAGATACGGGCCAGCTCTTCAAGGGGAAGGAAGAGCCAAACAGTGCTATCAGGGAACTATACATCATAACTATATAGCAGTGTAGACAGGCTCTTAGAAAGACAGAAATGAAGCAAAGAAGCCCCTGTGAATGTACAGAATTGAGTGGGCATTTTTCCTCTTCAGTTAGCTGTAAGGAGAGACTATTTTCTTTCCACAGAAAAATTCTGTAAAACAGATGGCCAGTTTCTCTTCCGATACACCAAGTAGGGGTTTTTGAGGAGCCATACACACTCAATTCTTCTTTCAACACAGTTCCTTGTATTGTTTATATTGCTTCTTGCATAGTTTATATTTTGTTTCAGATCATTCCGAGACCAGCTAATATGCTATATTGTATCTGGCTTGGGCGGGTATGTTTCAGCAAGCATATTTCAATTTCAACCTATGCTGGGAAGTTGTTGATGTGTTTTACTGGAACTTTATGAGCTTTGTCTCTCAAATTAACTTAAACCAGGGCCATCTGAGGTCAAATGCACTTAGCTTACTTTAATTTGCTGAAATAAATGAATAAATAAAATGTGCCTGACTATCTACATAAAAAGCCAAGGTTATTGGAAGACATGATCTATTTATCACATGTGAAGAACAAATTTCTTCCTTCCTTTTCCTTTGTGGTGCACATGCACATACACACACACATACTGTATTTATGCAACATACAAGCTTTTGTAAAGGCTGGATTCAGATGTTATGCACCCAGTCTAGCTGTGCATATGGCAAACTATCACTAAGGAGTTCCATGGAATAAGTTGTGTTTACTTCTATGGCCTACATGTTTGTCTCCCATATATGTGGGTTAAACTAGCTATTAAGCACAGCAAAGCAAAGTGTGCTGCTTGACACCATCCCATAGTACTTAAAGCACTCTCTGGGCAGTTTTCAATTTAATTATGCAGACTACATATTGCCCCACCTTCGTGAGCTAGGTTCTCAATATATTGTCCTCAGAGGGATGGAAGACTTTGTCAACCTTGAGCCACCTACCTGAACCCAGATCAAATTCTATTTGTGAGCAGATTCTTGACTGCAGTACTGCAATTTAACCACTGCACCATGAAGCTCCTTAAAGGAAATGTCTCCCATTGAGAGTGGTTTCCATCCAGTGGTGAGATTTCATCACAAATTGTTTGCCTTGGCAATCAGACTTGCAAAACAAGCTCAAGTTTTCTTCTAATTATCATCACATAACAAAGCATGCTGGCCAGAAAGGTAATGAACTAGTGTCTTTTGCCACTTGACGACTGCTTCTAATTATGTGTTACATCTATCCTATAGTTTGACCTTGCAAGAATATATGGCATAAAATTTACAGACATCACCTTCATACTGTCCCTCTCTGCTACAGCCTATTCACACGTACATTTTGGGAGGTGTGTTGCTCTAAGTTAAGAAAACGTTTTAACAGTTGCATGCTGAGTTATATGACTCAGTATGCAACCGATAATATCTACACTGATTCACTTTAATCAGTTTGCCTCACATTTATGCCATTTGCCATTACATTATGCCATTCGCCCAGCTACACAAGAGGATTTTGGCCAATATCTAGTACTGATCAAACTTAAGACGAAGAAGCATGCAGAAATTACTCTGAGACAAGAGCTGGACCCATCCATCCCAGCCCACAGGTTAAGCAGCTAACAAAATTACAAAATGGACTTTTCAACAGTAGCATGAAATGGCAAGAATGTGCTAAATGATTTTACTGCAGCAACAGTGAAGTCTCTGGTACTCATTGACTGGGTGGAACAGTTGCTTTGGGATGTCCATGAATGCTCTAGGTCTGCAGAAATTCCAAGAACGGAAAAGAATGTTAAGTTTAGCTGACAGGACCATTGGCAGGGCTGGACGATAGCATTCGCGACCAGAGAGCAAAGAACACGACTGCGAAGCTTAACAAAAGAGGCTGCAGGTACAGGCAGTCAAAAAATGTGATGGTGCAAAGTTGGGTTTGAAGTTGGCAGTCGCCTGGAAAAGCCAAGCCCAAAGGAAGGGTCAGAAGACAAGTCATAAGAAAAGACTAGAGATGAGACAGAAAGCATCTTATGGCTATTCAGCGCTCCCATTTATTCACTGGGGTCCTGTTTTTCAGAATTGTAAAAAGAAAAATCATATGACTATAGAACGTTGTGATGCTTTCACAGGGTTGCGAAGGTAATCTATCCTTATCATTCTTTGCCACACATGAATCACATGGTAATACACTTAAGGGGTTGCAAGCAAATCTCTCTTCCGAGCATCTATGGCCAGTGTACCAGTTTAATCAAGTATAATCTTCACTAAAGCATCCAATTGTAATTCACTAAACTATTCGTTAAAATATGTTTTTTTAAAAGAACATTCCAATAAAAATAAACTAAATAGCACCTTACCACATCTCTAAAATGCTATCTCCCTTCAGCATTATACTAACAGAAAAATGCTGGAGTGTTAAAAATCTGCAAAATGAAACACAGGTACCACTCCTTAATTCAACCGCATTAAACAAGAGGGAGGGAGCATTAATGGCAGCTAAAGTGGATTTGGCTCACCACTCCATTGTTTTTTTCTATCACCGACTTTTGAAGGCCATCAAAATTTCGCATCACTGTCATGCGAAAAGTTAAGTACACAATAAGTTAATTTGTATTGTCACTGTGCAGTACAACGGCAGTAAAGAGCACATCAATTTTTAATCTGGCATGAATAATATATAAATATGTATACACAGTGAGGGTCAAAAAGTGTAAAAGCAAAAAAAGAAGTGG